CATAAAGGAACTTTGTGGGATTGAGTAATCATAATTGACTCGAACATGAATAATCACAGAAAAGATGCGAACATGACGTGAGCGTATATCATTGAGCACGGTAGGAATCACTACAGATAATAACAATGAACTGAAGATTTGTTCAGCAATCACATTTTTTGACTGTATGTAGTATGACTTGGGATGGAGATAAACGGATGAACTCAAATAACAGAATATAACACTGGATAAGAATCTTGAGATACAGAATAAAGGCTGGTCGGGAAATTTACTAGCCCGTACCTCAAACTTAGCACACGATACATTCATTACCATTGGTAATAAAACAACATAAATATTCGAACGGGTGAAACACATAATTGCCTCTTTGTCACAATAACTCCCCAAAACAGGACTACGAGTCATAACTAGGATAAATCGCTAATATAATTTCGAAAACAGGGTTGACGACTGCAAATAACTAATGGTGCGGTCACCAAAAGTTCTTTCAATCGGAGAATTTTTGTCAATCTGAAAATATCAATAAAATCACATATGCATCACACGCAGGATTGGCTACGGTTGCTTTTTACAGTGACTGAAAATTGCCTAACTTAAAACGAAATACTGTACCACCGCCCACTCATTTTAAGTGCGTGGGGCGACATGAAATTAAAAAAACTGACAGTAATTTGCTTGCTATGGGAACGCACAAAATGTATGCATGAGAATTCCTATTGAGACTAGATTCTATTCAATGATGTCAACTTGTTTGAATGTACACGATGCCATGTGAATGCACTCAACGGAACAACAGGATTCTAAATAAAATCATTTAAAAAGCACCTCAAACACACGATATTTTCACGTAGATTAGTTTTCTGGAACACCTAAAATATTCGCGGAGTATCATAGGGCGGAACTGATGCCATGATCGAATCATCACCTTAAGTACATAGACAAAACTGCCCCACCGGGTACGATTGTTTAACGTCAACAGGATACCGTATGGTTACAGAATGATGAATGGCTTGACATTAAAATAAACTTTACTACTTACTGATTTGTTACACCATATAGGTTCTCTCAGTAATTTGAAGACTAAGATATAAAATCTAACACATTGCTTGTACGAAAACTCAACAGTTTTCATTAGCTAGGAAGATGATACAATAATGCAGTGTGATTTCAGGCATCGACCAGCGAAGCGCACCTTACTTTACTCGGCTGTACGATGACGATGACAGAATGAGCACATAGACTATGGAGCAGTAAAATTGCTCTAAATTAATACCCACCAAAATCAGAGGAAAATAGGCAAAAATGCAACCCGATCAATATATATATTTCACGTCTGACTACCCGAAAAAAATAAGCATATTAAATGGACATTGTGCTTTTTTTTAAAACCGATTATTATTTTCTTTATTACACACTTTCGTGTGATGAACAGCACACGGGGTAGAACCCCATAATTACGAGAACCTGCTGTTCAGTGATGGAAACCGGCAAGCCCCGAGACTTGGAGTGGTAAACCACATAAGGCCCCGATAGGTTGGGTGTGGTATTGAACCGGACGACAGTAGAGCTGCCTACCACGAAAGTCGGGTGGCGGTGGCGGGGATCGAACCTTGGACCATGGGATTATGGGAAAACATGAATAGTTACCGGTGATTATCAAGTCAAGTCAAAAATCGCTTTATTCATCCTAATGGGTGGATTCTCAGCTTCTTGCACTCCAGGAACATTTATCGTCGCATACAGTCACAAAGAAAAAAGTGAAAAAACAGCATCGTAAATCCAAAGGAATGTGGAGTAAAAGTTTGAAAATGAATATCAATTGCGTAGGAAATTCAAAACGTTTTCTCTAACGGATGCCTTTTGAGCCAGAAATCTCGAAAGATAGAGGATGACAGACAAACGATAGGCAGTGGTACGAGCATTCACCAGTTTATAACGATATCTTGTTACAGAAGTGTATAAGCACTGTTTAAGTTCTGTGTGTAATGGGTGAGTAGTGTCTGACAGAATGTTGTTTCAGAAGTTATCGCAAGAGGTAAAATGCTTATCGGCGATAAAATTAAACAAGTGCAAATAAGGAATGCCGCTTGTGCGAGAAATAATTTTAATAGACCGGCGTAGAATTGTATAATCTTTAGCTCTAAGACCGACAAATAAAACTGGTGAGCAGTAGAGATGAGTAACAACACAAAAATATACAAATCGAGTGAGTAAATACAGTGGAACTTTCAAAGAACGCCAGCAGGAAATAAAGAAACAACCGTCGAATCTTTACAAAAGTAGAATTTGAATGTGAGGTCCAGATGAGATCTTGGCGGATAGACACCGAAGTATTGTACAGAATTCACTGGGGAAACAGACTGGTTGTCAACATAGAGTGCAGGACAATTCCTTTCAAAAGAATGCAACCGTTCTCCTTTGGCGAGCGAAAAGGTGACATTGCTACATTCAGGTGCATTGGGGGATAACTTGGAAGACGAAGACCATAAGTTTAAGGCAGAAAACTGGTGTGAAGATGTGAGAAGCGGAAATCACCTTGGAATTTGGAACCTATTGTGACATCATCAGCATACTTAATGAAAAAATCATATGAGTTAGTGGGAAGGTCACGGATATAGAAAGAGAAAAGAACGGGGGATAGAATTGCGTCCCTGGAGCACCCCTGAGTTGACTGGTAGAAAGTCAGAGGTTTTTCTAAGAAAATTCGTGAATTGTGTTCTACCAGCAAAATAATCTTGAAGTACAGAGAGGGTATTATGGAATAATCCACAGTTTTTTTTCATAGCGCTCCAGATTTTCTTGCAATTACGGTCACCAAAAGCGGTTTCAGTGTAGTTTGTTAAGATTTTGGATCTCATTCTCGATCAGTACCGACGTTTATTTAACTAAAGGTCGGTCAGGATTTTTATATGCCCATTCCTTGGTTTTTCTGAGGGTATTCAAAATGGGAGAAAATCTGGCGAGCCTGATGTACACAGGGGCAATGGGGCAGCAGATGTCAGAGCACAAGTTCACATAGCTCATGAGGTCTATTTCTTCTGCTCGCCGAACTTGGTAATTTGTTTGCAAACGTTTCATCACCAGTCGAGGTAACATCATCCGTGCTTGTGAAGTGGCCACTTCACAAGCACGGATGATGTTACCTCGACTGGTGATGAAACGTTTGCAAACAAGTTGCCAAGTTCGGCGAACAGACGAAACAGAATTCAGTTCACCCGAGCTACGAGAACCGATTTTCAATACTTTGTCAACAGCTCGTGAAGTGTTCACACTCAACCGAGACACTTGGATCAAATAACTGATCAAAATTTGTACCAGAGATCATTCCTCTCAGTGATAACAAGTGGGCCGGGTCACACAGCCTATGAAAAATCTTCTGCCTAGATGTTTGTGTCAATGTGCTATGATGTTTCTTTGAGTAGACTTGGCAAAACATTTATGATACAATGATTGGAGTTTGCCAGAGGGGCTCATCTACGCACAGCAAACAGGTCAGGATCATTCGAAAACATAAGGCCCAGCTGCGCGTTTCCTCTCGCCGAGAAATTTACAAGATTGTGGAGAGAGAGAGACAAGTCAAGAAATGTATATCTGCATGGTTAAAATCACCACTAACAATAAAAAGAGAGCGTTCTGTGTAGTTAGAAAGTTCAGATATAAATACATCAGCAAACGTCTGTACATCAGAAGTTGTACTGGAAGGTGTTATGTAAATGTTTGATGCCACGATGGAACGATACTTACTAAGGAAACGGTGTTTACATTCAACCGAAAGACATGAGATATATCCTACGTTGTAGGTGAAGATAATCTTTGTAGACGATTTGATGTAGGTTATTAGACCACCGCCTCGATTTCGTAGTAAACAGTCTCTATCCAACCGATGCATATCAAAGAAATCCAGTTCAACCAAAGAGTCGTTGATGTCAGCAGCAGCATAATCATCCCCAATGCATGGCATTTTTTCANACAGAGAATGCCACTCTTGCGCGATAACCCATAATGTTGCAAATTCTTTAGAGATTCCGAGACATACGTAATCATGGAAGCGATGAAAAAAAAACTTGATTCAAACGATTAAATTTAATGTGTGACGTAAAAGTTGATGAACTATCCACTTGAGCACAAACTGTAGCACGGCCGAAAATTGAAGGCTCCGCCGATCCAATCAGCGAAGACATTTTCGGCACAACAACTAGCAACTTTGGTCTGCAACGCTAAGATGTGACATCGACCCTATATGCTGCGACCTACACACAATGCATAGCCACTTAACGTCTTAGACGAACAGAAAGCTCGATTTACGATTGATTTGATTTGGGAAACTCAACGCTATGTTCATGAAAAGTCATGCATTGATTTATTCATCGAAAAAATGCTATACCACTTCTTTGATACAATCTTTACTTGCTTTTACTATTAAACGACGCTATCTTGTTAGAGGATAATCGATTCTGTGGACCCGGGGAATCAGTAATTGGATATTAGATTGGTGTAGGTTGCCGCCCAGGTTTGGCGCCTAGTGGGTACAAGCTTAGTGGTGCCCTGATCATCGGAATTTCTAGGACACTTTATCCATTGCAACATTGCGATCTGCTGATAACATGCAGTCATTCAAGTTAAACCTCATAATTGCTTGATTTACCAAGAAAAGTATATATTTGTAAAAAAAATCTAACTGTCGGAAACATTTAACTCCAAAATGTTTATTCAATGAATAGCGTAGATAGGGCGCTGTTTTGCATGAACTACAATTTACACGGACATTCAGAAAATGTTTATTCAAATAAAAAACAGACTATATGCTGATCTAAGACTGCACAATTCTTGGTCGTTTCTGAATAAACGATTATAGAATTACAAAAGAGATAGAGAACCGATGATGTGATGTAGAGACTCGGACCCGTATAGAAAGGAAACGACGGCCGGCAAACGAATGACTAGTTCGTTGACAAGTTCTACGGACCATGCAACACAGAGAACAACCAAAAGCCGAAATATCACATGGTCGGGTGCGAGGATTCTGCCCCATTAGAAGCACTGGATTTGACCGGGACGGGAATCGAACTACTGATCCACAAGGTACCACTGGAAACACCAGTTCCACCAGCAGCTACTGCAGATTCACCAGTATTGACATTTGCGTCAGAACTGTTGTTGTTTTTTGTTGAATTGGATGGGGTCGGTTGGGCCAGAGCTCTGTTAAGTCGAAGATGAGCGTTAACGAGATCGTCGGTATCTAAAGCGGCCATTAAACTGAGCTCACCAGCCAAAACGGTGCCAGCGATTATTCGGGCTAAATGTTCGGTCGGTCGATCCACACTTAAATCAAGCAAATCGAGACAGGAACGTTGTGCTGGCAACCGCGTCCCACCCCCGATTGTGCCAACCTCCATGCAAGGCATTGTAACAGTAGCCACGAGGGAATTGTTATCACCTATCTCGAATTGCGTTAGACAGGCCGAGGCATCCACAACCTAAAGCGGAGAAAAAAAATTTGGTTGCCAAAAATTAGGGAGAGAAAGAGAGAAAATAACCAGAATGAGTTATTGATATTCCAGTAGCAATGTACAAAAATCGCTCACGAGCAACAAACGCCGGACGAGGAAAATAGCAACTGCCGATCGAAATACGACAAACTGTCAAAAGCCCACATGGCTTTAGAGAAATACCATTCAAAGCTGTAAACCTACTCTGTTACACAAACGTGAGAAACGATTACAAGGCGGTGCTTCTCTGGCAAGGCAATAGAACCACGGGAGCAGTTCATGGATTGTTCGTAAATGAAACCGTAATTGAAGAAATTAATCGCATCGTTCATGACAAAGATAAATAACATGAATAGACAGCGTAGCTGTTTGAAACCTTTCTATGAAAAAAACAAGAGGAAAAAACCAGACAGCTAGAGCCTACAAAAGATTAAAATTACATTTGCCTAAGAAATTAAACGAACCTTCAAGAATCTCCGTCAAATCCCATGCACTCGATCACTGACGGAACACATCTACAGAGAGTGAAGGAGTGGATTACTCAAAGTCTACGGCGAGGAGCTATACGCTACCGGAGCATCTTCAGGTCGAGGATTAGAGGACTACTCGGACAATCAACCGTGGACAAGTGGGCATTGCTTGGAGCAAATCATGAGTGAATGAGTAAAGTTCGGTGGATGACATACTTTTATGATAGAACAACTAAAACATCACAGGTTATCTAATTAACAAATGAGATGGAGTTAATGGTTACACGATGCCACGTGACGAGACGACTCAACCAAGCAACGATACTGATCTGGTTGGAATAAAGACTGTTCGGTGGTAATCTGCAATTAGTGTGATTTAGTGTAGTCGGGATCACTTCATTTTGAAACATGGAGTAACAAGGTCAGTTGGTAGATGGTTGCCTTCTTTATTTTCCACATAACTGCATACTACCTATAAGTAGTTAGCCTCTATTTTGAGAAACAACTTGGGAAAAGTCAGCTTACAAATCAGCGGTTCGATAGAATACGATATGGTGAAATGAAACTATGGAAATCGACAAACCTGGGCTAGATCTTGACCGGTCGCGGCAAATATCCCCGCCACAATGTTCGCAGCATGTGCATTGGAACCCATCATTCCGGGGCAACCCGCCATTGCTGAACCAGTCCAATTTTTCGCATGTGCTAATCGAGTTAATCGCGTGGCCGTGGTATGGAGCACTTGTGCTAGCACGGTAGCTGGTAGCTGGGCCTCGGCAATTACCGATTTACCACGACCGAGAATCGAATTGATGGCAGCCGGCTTTTTGTCCGTACACATATTACCGCTCAGCGAAATGACCTGAGAAGTACACACGGGGAAAGGGAACACGTCGATCTGATAGAGAATCGACTGGAACATTCGCCGATCTACGAGGTAATCCCTATGGCTCTAATCATGTCATGCTTACTTACGCACTAAACTCACAAGGTATTACGTAACGGATCTTACCGTAATGAAATTAAGTTTGAAAAAAATTTGGGCAAAAAATGAAACTTGCGATGTGATCATTATTCAAAACAAGTTGAAGGTATTGAATTCATTTGTCGATTATTTACATCCAAAGAAACAAGGCCCCCGCATCAATGCAGCATTTCTACTTATTAGAGAGATGGAACTAAACACGCCATCAAACAGTAGGAGATTATCACAATAGACATGGATGAAGCGGTTTTCGGGTGTGTGCATATTAACTTATCTCAACCATAAGCACTTTCTTCGTGTTCATGGGCTTTATCGGTAGTTTAAAATGATGTGAAGATTGCTTGAGGATCATAACTCAACATTTCTCATGCGGTAATTAAAGAGGTACGGCTACAAGCAAGGGTCCACTCAAGGTCCATGGAACAGTCTTTTGGAATATAGAAAGTGAACTGTCTACTACCGCTTTTGGAACGCAAGATATATCAATAAGTCTCATTTTCCGCCAGCTAAAGTGCACATCTAAAATCTAAAAAGCGCTTCCGTTCAGTGCTCTATTGAGAAATCACTTGATTTCTACCACAACCAATGAGTTGTTAATTATTCGAGCGCATAACTTGTGTGGATTTATGAAGTTTACTGGTCTCCAAAACTACCACCATAAATAGATCAGTATGAACAGTAGGCAAAAGACAGGAAAGTTGAAAGTGGAGTCGAACAGAAAAGGGAGAATCTTAGTGGACTAATATTGCAAAGAAATTGAGAAGATGCACGAACAACACTGTTTAAGCCACTCAGCCATATCACTTAGTTCTCTGACAATCGGTTGCGATCATCCCGAGGTCCCCAGCCAGAGAACATAACGGGACCTATGTGACCCAGAATCACGGTTAAGGTTTTTACACCCTCGTGCTAGATCGTAGCCTGACTTTGGCTTTTTCTACTCACTACCTGACACGACGAACATCACTCGCCGTGGCGTAACACATGCCCCAACCAACGTAATCTATGAAGGTCGATCATTTGCTCCAGTGGACAACCGCATTTACCTAAAACTCTGCGCCTAACCTCAGCATTGCTCGTCCGGCTGATTTACAAGATTCGTGCAATGCTGCGTAGACAGTGGTGTTCAAACACCGACAGTTTATTTTTATCCTGTTTTCTTAATAATCAAGTTTCTGCTCATATAAATTAACTAGCCGAACTGATGCAGCATATACTCGACCCTACACGGACAGATGGATATCGCGACGGCACTACAGATGTCTCAAATTGGCAAATGCCAACCGAGTCTCCTGTATGCGATGCGTCCACCGGGTGAAATGTAGCTGCCCAAATAACAAAACTAATCCTCTTGCTCTATTACTTCCCCAATTAGAGTGAGGTTGGGTGATGGACCAACCCAGTCTTATAATAACATTTTACACTATGAAGGTGCAAAACGCGTACCGAATAGGGCTACACTGGCATTCAAGCCATCCAAAAACCTTGCATCTTACCTGGATCTTCACTTGGCAGTACAATGTCGTCTGCATACTCTAGATCAGATAGTCTGCCACCCGGTGGTAAATCGATACCACTTTGCTCGCGCGAGGATAGAGTTGTTCCCAAAAGCAAATCTATAAAAAGGGTAAATAGAAAGGGGGAGAGAGAGAGAGGACAACCCTGACGAACACCACTTTTAATGGTGAACTCGGGCGAAAAAGTGCCGTAACATTGAAAAACCTCTCGGGCACACTCCTCAGGGAAAGACAGCGCCAGAGTTTCGAGCGGTCGACTGAGTCGAAAGCCGCTTTCAGATCGAGGAAGACAGAGATGATCGGTATACGAAAGGAGAGTCTGTTCTAGAATTTGACGGAGAGTGAAGATGTGGTCGATACAACCTCGACCAGGTCTGAAACCAGCCTGGTTCTCACGCGTGCACTCTTCGTGTACGCCAGACAATCGACGGAGTACAATACAAGCGAGAAGTTTCGAGACGACGTTGAATCAAATAATTCCTCGCTGAGTTTCACAGGGGAATATGTCATCTTTCTTGTAAACTGGTGTGATCACCAATCCATAGGGATCCGTTGGAACCTCGTCTCTCTCCCATACTGAGCCCAGGAGTTTCGTTAGCTCCAAAACCAAGGTTGAACCTCCATCCTTGAAAGCCGATGAGTACAGTCAGTCCGGGGCACGTATCTTTTGAGATACTTCAGTTCTGGGGTAACCCCCATTTCAGAAGGAGGACTGAAGTCTACTAGCAATATTTGCCCAGTTGAAGCGGGTATCGGGAGGTGTTGTGTCGACGGAAACCAGCTGAACTGTGCTTTAAAATGTTCTGCCCAACGTTGCTGAGTGTGAATCAGTGTGCCGTCAGACTCCCTAATTACCTACCTTACACCTACTTTTCTTGGACCTGTACTTCTCGTTTAAACGAAAAAGATTGTGACTATTAACGATAGCCGCAACCTTCTCTGTTTCACTACACAACCTTTCTCGCGGTCAACCCTCAAACTCTTGATGAGCTGGCATTTAAGGGATTTACGCTGTTTGTCGTACTTTTGATCAGAAGGAATGGTTTTGCGAGCGTCCAGCCAGACAACCGAGGTCGGGGAGATCCATCGTTTTTTATTTGATCGTGCGCCAGAAACCGCCGTCGTTTTGATTGACATTTGGATCGCTTCCTTGATTGTCCTCCAGGGTTCACTGAGTCCTCGGATGATGGTTGAGCCGAGAGGTGATCTGTAAGTTCCGCTTCGAAGGCCGATTTGCAACCACTGCTGACACTGTATTGTGGGCATCCGTTTTTGGTGGCATTTCGGCGGTTGCTTACTGGGTGTAAGGGGAATCTCGCTTGTAACATAGCATGGTCCGTGTCTACGGAAGTTGACCGGTAGGAGCGGCAGACTTCAATGGGTCCTTGACAGCGGTGGTTGATGGCGATGTGGTCGGTTTGAGTCCAGCGCTGTGAAGAAATTTGTGGTCTCCATATAATACGGTGACGTTTCTTGTGCGAGAAGATCGTGCTTGACAAAAACAGTCCGTGGTCAGCGCAAAGTTGGGGTAGGCGTTCTCCGTTGTCAGTCCGGTTAGCCGCGATTGCAAATGAACCACCAAGTAGCCTTTCTAATTCGTCCAGATATCCCACTTAAGCACTGAATGCTCCAGCCACTACCACGATGTCCGTTGACCGAGCATTCCGGAGAGGCTGCGAGAGGTCCTTGTATGACTCCTCCTTCATTTCAGGCGAACTGTAATCGGTCGGTGCATACGCGGATACGACGAATAAGCATCGAGGCTTCGTTTTGTAGCCGCTTTTTTTATTACACACCTAGGTTTGATGAACAACAAACGGGGTAAACCCCATAGTCACGAGGACCTGTTGTTCAGTGGTTGAAATCGGCAACCTAATCCCCGGAACTTCGAATGGCGAACCATATAAGGCCCCAATAAGTTAAGCGTGGTATTGAACCGGACGACGTTGATCCGTACTGAACCATCCAGANCCAGACGTACAGCACAAAGTCAGCTACTAACCCGAATCCAATCGAGAAGTAAACGCTCGGCCCTGACACTCAGCGCAATTCCGACACCAGCAACATCGCGAGCTTCGGATACCGGATCGCGTGACACACGGAGAGTGAGGATGAAGCTGCATCTGGAGATCGCAAGGTGATGATTGAAGTAGGGTCTTGTATATGTGTTTTGGAGACACAGCATACATCTAAATGGAAGGTTTCAAGGGTTCTAGCTAAAGCGGCTTGTTGACCAATCTGATAGAGTGTGCGAACATTAAATGCGGCTAAGTGGAAAGGAGATTTTGGTTTTAAAGATCTGATAGGCTCTGAGTGGTTGACCTCATTAGTTGAACGCTGAGTGATATTCCATGGGTGGCGCAAACAGGATGCATCTCCTAAGGTTTGCGAGTGAGGAAGTGGGCAGATGAGAAAGACGGTTTTCCAAATGGGTGCCTAAAACTTTAGGGCACGGCATATTTCACGGGAGCCCACACCGACGAAGGGGTTTTTCGTTGGGAACCCAACTCGGAGCCTTTGACCCAGAACTCCGACCGGCGAGGAAGCGGCCATTTGTGGGATTTTCTTGAGGAACTTTAACTGGAACCTTCGACTCAAAAGTTTGACCCACAACGCAGTGGGGCATAAATTCAATGTGGGAGCGTGAACGAAGTACACGTGTGGGAGGTGCTAGAGAACTACCACGCAAAGCCTTTGAGTTTCAATTCAGCTTATGGATCGCCCGTGCGTTGATTATTGATCCAATGTTCGGCATTGGCCCTTAGTCCAATGAAACACGCGGAACTTGGACGGGACAGCACGTTGTTGGCGGGTGGCTCCTCAGCTTGGGCGGGC